AAATATATATATATATATATATATATATATATATATATATATATATATATTGCATTGTAACCTTCATTCGTTCTTCTGTCGCCTACGCCAATGACTACTCTGGTTGAGGTGGCAATCCGCTCAAAGGACGTCCTAACGTCCTAAAATAGGCTCTATTTTTATCCGATCAGGTACGATGTCGGTGGGAGAATATAAGGCTTGCCAGCCGTGAGGGCTACCAGGTAGATCAGGTCTTGGTTGAAAATTGAGTCAATGCGCCTGTGTTCGCGTCTAACCCAATAGCGGAGCGAGATTAAACCAGGGGCTTACCGACGAAATGTATTGCTACCTTGACCGCCCACGGCATAGCACCGGAGGAAGCTAGAAAGACGTGAATGAAGGCCTACAATCGAAGACCTAAAACCATCGACTGAATAAGAGCAAAGCTAAAGTGTGTTAACACTGAGAAGACCACTCATGACTGAAGTAAAATGAATGAGAAAAGACAACACCAGGTGATTCAATAAGTCGAGGACATACTGTTGAATAGATAATTCAGCTGTGATGTGCTTCTACTTTTATCCGATGAAACTGTCACTTGGCCAACCGTGATCACAACTCACAACCTCATTCATACACTCCTAAATCGTCGGTACATCTGGCGCGGAAGGTCAACTGTTTTGTTTTGCCCTTCTGCTGCCCGAATTGGAACGCTTGAATGCTCCCATGTTTCCTGCACTCTCATGCCAGAAGCGTTTGGTCAGACGAAAAACGTCTTGTCATCTTGCAATAACTGAAACCTGTGACATGTTTTTCACAACCAAAAGAAAAAGATTATGACAAAAGAATCTTTATCTTCGGGACCAGAAGCACAGATGATTGAGGAGGGGAGGGGAAGTGAGTTTGTGAGTTGTGAGCATGCTTCGGGAATTCACAAGGTTTCGCTGGGTAAAAGTACAAATGAACGACAGTGCGATTGCTCCATCGTTTACCATCGTCGCGTCCCTCTCACTCGTGACCTTAAACAAGTAAATTCCCTCCGATCCTTTCTGTGATCTGATTTGATCATATTCCGCGATCTGCGGCGCTCAAAATCTCTCACCCCAACACGAGACTGTCTGATTACCGGCTTGTACGTTTTGTAATGCTCTTGTTGTTATGTCCAGTTCATCCGAGCACTGATGGCACACCTGCTACACAGTCGAAGTTCACTGGGCCTGCCTGAGACTAACGGCTGTAAAAAGGTGTAGTTTCTCGCTCAGGTTAGATGGGCAAGCACCAGGTCCCTTGTTGCGGCTGAACCATTCGACCGATCGATATATGAGCACACCCTCCCAACCACCACCACCGCCGGTGTGAACCTCAATGCGACACAAACCCGCTCAGCTTCTCGGAAAACGAATAAATTTCCTCCATGTTTACAAACGTTGATCTGCATCTCCCGATCGAAAGAAATGTTCGAAGAATCGGACAGAAACTGATGGAGTTTGTCATTTTACAGCCGTTTTTATAACCAAGATCAAAATGGGTGTCTTAAGAAGACTAACAGTGATTTTGTTACTACACTTTTGAAACCAGAGACTGAACTTTTCCTTTCTACCGTCACCACGCAAATTGCCACGGCGTGTGAAGCCCTGGATAAAACAAAATCGTGGGTGTTCAA